TGTTTACGGTCCATGTGTCGCTGACGTCTGTTCCAAGGTCACGGTTGATACAGTTGGTTGCTCTGATCAAGCGACAAGCGTTATCTACTACGCACAGAGTTAATATCCTTTCTCACGGCTGGCACTGTCGCAAGACTGGACGATTAATGCCTCCTTGACACGACCGTGCGGCCAGCGTCTTTCTTTGATGATGCCGGTACACTCTGACCATCGGAGGAGGTGTGACTTTCATGTGCCGCGTTCTGCACAATCCCAGTGGTTTTTACACCTTCTTCCTTGACTTTGCTTTGAGGCTTTTTTTCTCACGTGCTTCGCTATCACGCGTCGCTCACGCTCGTCCGGGATCATCCGTCATCTCCAGCTTGACAGTTAGGCCTATGAACGACAGTGTTCTTTATCTTTTTCTCCTGTGTAATTTTTCCCGCAGTTACAAGTAACAATTCGTAAATTCAGCCTAGAGAATTATTATTATTCAGAATAACTTAACGACGCATTAAGTTTATTAGAGCTTTTACACATTTCGTTAATATAATGCCTATTGCTAAGTAATCGTTGTAACTTTTCATTAAGATTGTTGTAATGAATGAGAATAACGCACAGTTTACTATTTAGAATATTACCTTTGACATTTTTGTTACAGTTTGCCTGCTCTACGGTTTATGATATTATTAGCGTATTTAACTCTGGACAGTTATTATTAAAAACGGCTGATTTAATATAGTTTATTCCTTCTTTACGAAGTTTATTATCAGAGCTTCAGAGCTCTGCACATTAAGCTGGGCTACAGACTTTATTATTAATTAAATGATTATGTTCGTTAAAATTAGATATTTATTGGTGTTAGCAGGTTTACGATAAACTCCCGTTTTGTAGCAATTGCCAGAGTTTTTTTTTATTAAGACATCAAGAAAACGTAGACCAGGGCTGTTTTTTCTTTCAGCGGTTAACTCGATACTTTCGGGCAACAGACTGTTGATTAGGTCGAATACGTTATTTTTATCAACTTTGGAACAGGTTGCAGAAATATGGTCATCGTGTCTTTTGAAGACCCTTTTGCAGCAGGCCTGCGTTTGTATCCCACGCCGCATTTTCAAAGTGCTCGGTAAAAATTTTGGCTAAGATGGATGAGAGTGCGTTGTCGATGGTACTACCCCATGGGTTTGTGGGAAGAAAGCGCTATCGGAGGAGAAACCATTCGCCTCTCTCATGCAAAAAGGTTATCAACTTTATAGCAGGATTAGCTGAGAGGTTAGTACGCTATTTAAGTGGAGTGTCTCCTTGAAAAAGCTTTCGAATTATTTTTATGGCAAGTAATCTAGCCATAGGTACAGTTTGCTAGTATTCCTGTTGAACAGTTCGCAGAGAAGCTGAGATTGCTGAGTCGCGGTAGTTTCAGCCGATGAAGTCGCCGAGAGTAAACAGCAACATAACGATATCCGACTGCACGAGGCTAGTGTGAAGTTTTACAGATGTTACAGGTGCTTGTTGTTAAAAAGGATATAGTTCGCAATGCGGGTGAAATCCGGAAACGCCTGTCGTACAGCATTCGAAGTTAATTATTTTTGCTGAACACTGCAAAACACTTGGTACTACCTTCAGTGAGTGATTTGAGATTTTGAAAATGGCGTTGTAGTAATCCATTCGAAGCAGTCGCAATTGCGTATTGACACAGCCTGTATTCAAAGACAAATCTCTGAAGAACGTTCTTTTTACGCCGAGTAAAGTGATCGTAACTGCAATTTCTCTGCATTACTTGCTCGTATGTTGGATGAAACGTCAGGTTTTGTGCCATTTTTCAAACTCTCTTTCGTGTGCAACTGTAACTTGGTCACTGACACGTCAGAAAATCAACTTATTAGGTGCCTGTCATGTGATTGCAGGTACATTGCCGCAATTAACTCCTGATTGGCATTGCGATTTGTGTTTCCAAAACCTTTTTCACGGCGTATAGTTTGTCTGTTGTCGTTTGCTGGGACTGTTATCGTTCGGACAAAGAGAGCACAGCTAATCAAAGGTAACTGATTGGTTGACAGATCTCCGACTGCTGACTGTCACTTGCCTTAGCTACGTTCGTTTCACGGTACCAGGGTGAAAGTGGTTTGGGCGCTTTGGGAGCAGAAAAATCGAAAGTAGAGAGGGCGATCTTCGGCACTGATGAGAGAATGGGTCTTTTTTATTGGACGGCCGTAGCGATAGAATGTTCTTCGACCGGCTGGAGATAGTTTGTTTCAAGAAACTTTTGACATTTTGAATTGACAATCGATTATGCGTTTGATGTTTTTGGCATTTATATTTAAAGTTTGCGGATTTTTATGAAAACGAAGCGAAACGAGGCAAAATCTTAAACTTGTGTAACGGTTCAGTTTATTCCTGAAAGGGAATCAACGGTGTGGTTTTGGGTTTGTACTCTGTGAAAGTAACCCAACGAAGAAAAAATCACCGGCTAATAGAACAGCTATAAGAAAAATGCCGGCAAAACAAAATTACAGTATTCTATGTTTGAGAGTTGAGTGGCCGATAGGGTTAGATTGATGCCACGAAAGGCGAGAGACGCCGCAAACGCGCGGGTGCACTGAACTGCCGGATTGCAGCATATGGAGTAGCCAACTTGTCTCTCATTGAACTGTTGTTTAGCGAATTTTTTGTCTGCGAACGTTTATGAACACCGCGTGTTGCTGCCAAAAGCAGTGTTTTTCTTGCGATTATCGCCATAACTCAGACAAACCATTAAGGAGGCATCGCCGAAATTACTGGAAGTCGACTGAGTCAAAGTAAGGCAAGAAAAGCTATCGTAAAGCACTATTTGAACAGGAACGGGTAAAAAGCTGTAACTGTCAAGGAAGGTAAAAGACGTGATTGGGCAGCACCTGTCGAACGGTAGCCATCATGTAGCAGTGTTAAATC